CGAACTCCCAGACCCAACTTCTGACTTAAGAGGTACAGAGCAGGGCGCTTCACGGTTACAAGAAGGTTGTGAGTTTTATTTCAGGATTAGTTGTTTCGGACAGTTTGGTTCCTTGCACTGTCTAAAACCCTAACTGTTAGGTTTACTGGTCACTCTAATCAGATCCAGTCCTCTGCTGGACAAATAATCACTGAAACGAGGAACTGGAGCTCATCACCCCAGTTCTAAAGTATTTACAATGACTCCCTGTACCTCAAAGAATAGACTTTAAAATACTTTTGCTGGTTTATAAATCACTGAATGGCAACCAAAGTACATTAAAGACTGCACTATCAGTCTTTAAGGCTACTCAGGTATTCTGAATTAAGTCCACTCCTCTGATTCCGATACACGGAGAAACACAGAGAAGCAGCATTAAGTTTTCATGCTCCACTAATCTGGAACAACGCTCCAAAAAACTGCAAAAATGCTGAAACTTTGAGTTCTTTTAAATGAATAAAAGCCATTTGTTTAGAGTTGCGTTTGAATGTTCTGTGTTCAAAGGTTGGAATTGCCCTGATCAGACTGATGTGAAAAAGTTATATGGGTTAATAACATCATAACTGAGTCACCTTTGCCTGCTTTGCCGCACATTGCTCTTCAAACTCTAACCAAGCTGATTCCCCTTAATCTTTAAAAAAAAGTTGGTTATCTCCCTTAAACAAATGTGTAGCTATAGGAACAGTTTTACCATCCAATGCAACATCCACATATGTTCAAACAATTACCCACAAACATTATTTTTTCTTGGGTTTGTCCTTCTGTTCTGAAATGCTATGAGGCAGTCTAAGATTTGATAAGGTTAAAAATGAGCTACTTAATGTATAACATATGTATGCACAATAACTGGATAAAGTTACGTTGGTCCTACCAGACTTGAAACTGCTCTTTACAGAATATGTTCTGTTTCCAGTTCTTCCAGCAGTTTCCAAAGTAGAAAAGAAATCTCAGGGGGAGTGTTCAGTTCCTGCTGTTTAAAAAAGCACATCAGACAGTCCCTGTAATGGCCACCCATTCTTTACAGTGATGGATTTCCCACAGTGCAACAGCTCAGCATACCTTCCGCAACTTTTTACTGTGTTCTGTCGCTAATCGCCCCCTGGGTTGAAAAACAATTTATTCAGGCTCTGAAAAATGAACATTAAGGAACACATATACTAAGAGAAAGTTTTGCTGCAACAAAGGTGGACATTTGTTAAAGGCTGAACCGAGCTGAGTGGATGAATTGGAAAAAATAACAACACAAGAAAAAAGTGAGTTACATCATCAAAGACAAACAGCTTTGGAAATAACACAAATTAGGCAATTTATATAATAACGTAAGAATTGTAAAAGCTAAGAGATAAAAGCAGGAACAAAGTGAATATCTAAGGAGCAAAACAAAGAAAGACTTGAAAAATAACAAAGCGGGCTGTTATTTATCAAAATACACAAATAAATTACAGCAACGTTGGAACTGGCCTCAGTCTTAAAAATAAATCTTGTAAAAGAGGTAGATATAAAATATTTGTCTTAATACCATCCTGCCTGACTACTTGAATTACTCTAATAGTAAATTATTCAACAGTGATTTAATTTAAACTTTAGAACTCGTTTTGACCTCAGTCAAAATGGATGATCATGAATTTTTTGGATACAATACACTGAAGATGAACTATTACTTAAATCATTTAACGAGGCTTTGAAAAAAAACACACACTCACAAACACACACACACACACACTCACAAAATGAAGTAAATGCTTTGCTAAAGTTTAGCCAAAGGCAAAGGAAGGATGTATACGAGGGCCCAGGGATTCCATTAATATTCTATATTTATAATTTAATTGTTATTAATCATGTTGAATTATATATCACAAAAATGAAATTGTTTGTAAATATCATCAAAGTTATTAGGAAAAATAAAAGAGCACTTCTGGAAACCTGACATTCATAATCAGGAAGATGCATTCATTATCTACTGCATTATAATACATAACAAGTCTAGCTATTGAATGCATGCAACAATTTATAATGTTGATTTAGTTTCTTTTAAGTTTCAAATAGATATCCTAAATTATAACACTGATACTGTAAGTAAGCGTGTCCTCGTAAGAAAGAACTTAAATTGATTTCTTAAATAATAGCTACAGAGAAAGGACCACCAGTCATGAAAGCTGATGAAATTACAACAAAGACAATTGGAAACTGCAAACATCAACTGCCATGGATCAAGGGGAGAAAAATAATGAGCATATTACAACAGTGAATCACTTAGCAATTAAAACGTGTCTCAAAAGCAACAAAGCACGAGTATGTCTTTGGTTATTAATGGTTTAAAATGTTTGACAAAAAGAGTAAGGCATTGAGTTCCACATCTAGGTTGTCATGGGCCCAAAAATGTTTAAATCTCCCTCAGAATTAAAGACTTAAATAACTTTTATCAAATTTTCAGACTTCAGTGAACCTAGCAATAACTGATTGCCAGACATCATTAGAGATGCTCTGTTAATGCTAATCTTAGAGCTCTTGTGTACTTTAATCACCGTATTTCACTAGGGAGACTTGAATGATCTATAATCATTGTGCAGAAGATAAACAGAGGTTTTAGATTGCCGTCTTGTGAATTTGTGATGTTATTATAAAATAGCAAATAACAGAAAGAGTGATCCGAGGTTTTGAAAAACTGACTATAATTACAAAGCACACAAATAAAAATCCAAGTTTTACTGTAAAATACCTTCATTTAACTTTCTTATCATTGTCAAAGCTTCACTCCTCTGCCCGTCAGATACACAACCACTGTCCTCATGGGACAGTGATTAAAAGAAAAACTTACATTTATCATAACAGCGAGACTTTGCAAATTAGCATTTGAAAAAGCCACATTCAAAATCAAACTTTTGACTCAGCAATGGTTTGGAGAACAAATTTGCACATAAAAGCGCCGCAGCTTTCATAATTGAGAAAAGATTGACTGGTCATCTTTTACACTTTCAACTATAATCGGTTTGCATTGGGGGAAATGGATCATGCTAAACGTTGCAAAATTATGAAGGCAGTGATCCTGATGTTTTGACCCAAACATTAAACATGAAAGGAGGATGATCCTGCATCTCAAAATCCAGAACGAACCACTGCTACAGGTGCAAGCTGGAGGTTTTGCATGTGGGCTTCAACCTAAAAACTGTTGAAAATCTGTGGATGGACATCAAAAGACCAGCACACGCAGAGCAGCCAAAGAGACTAACAGAGAGGCTTTTTCAAAGAGGGTCTGTGAAAATCTTCCAAGCTAGAAATGGAGAAAAATCAGCTTGCAACAAAAAGCTTTGACAAGTTGTGATATGGACCAAACGAGAACAGGGCATACTTTTACTTGGCAACGATGTTTGCTATTTTAAAACTAAAAGACGAAAATAAAAAAATAACCTTGGTTGAAACTTAAAAGGAATGCATCATCCTGAGCTTTAGACATCGGGAAATCAAATCTGAGTTCTCCTCAGCCATCATAAGCCCAGTTGTCTGTTTTTCTGTTAGAGCATTGTGGGGGACCTTTTAAAGACAGCCTCTCATGTTGTGATGAGATCTCACATTAGCTGTAATGGTTAGGCATTTTGGCAGTTAGGCATGATGCAATGAAGGGGAGGAAAGTTTTTACAAACTGAAATAATATACACGCAAAAATTTGAGAAGTGAGGCATGCATTTTTATTCAACCTCTTTTACTTTAATACTTTAAAATAAAATGCAGTGCAACCAATTGCCTTAGGATGGGGATATTACGTAAAATCAACTTATTTTTAGCATAATATTTTATTGTAATGTTATTCCCTCGTCAAAAATATTCCTGAAATGTAAGGAGGCCAAACTGTTTATGTTTGGTGTTTACTTGAAATCATATTGAAAGGCATATAATGTTTCTCTCTTCCATTTCATAGTTATGTCATATTTTACCTGCAACTGTCACAAGAAAGCCCAAAAAAATGTAATGAGGTTTGTAATTGCAACTTAATACAATGTGATCAAGTTGAAGGGGCATGGAAACCTTTACTCAGCACTGCAAACCATAAAGAAGGTTTTAAAAATTTGCTGTACATAAAACATGCAATACCTGGTACTACAAAAAGTAATGAAGTGTATAGAGGGATCAATTAGCAACTTTTACAAAAGCACTCTCCCCCTCGCAGAGGCTGAGTGTTATTTAATTTATATGTTGTAAAAATATTCAGAGTTTTAATGCAAATTTGCAAAAACCTACATTTTCTTAGAAGTGATAGTACATATAATTATCAGTCCTACATGAAAGATTGTTGTGTGGGGTTATATTTTTAAATCAATCTTGATTAATAAATTATTTCACACCTCAGTTGTGCACCACTCCCTTCTAAAACCTTCTAATCCAATTAATGCTGTGACATACCCCGACCTTGTTTTATTCTCTTACATTGAGAAGCAGAAAGGAAGACAGTCTATTTCATTTAAAAGTCACACAATCTTGGTTTCCGTCTGGAAACTAGTCAATAAAGCAAAGCATTCAAAGGAATGAAATGCAATGCTTACTCATCCAGTTCATTTTAACTTCCCCTTTCTTGTCTATTTACAAGAAAAAAAGCAGCTGAAGAAAAAAAATCAGCCGAGATTCCTAAAATTTATTCACAAGGAAAAGAAAATTATTTACTCAAGATTGTGACCCAGTGACACAAGAATCCCTTAGCTCTCACGACATTACAGAAAAATATTGCCAAGTACTTTCTCTAAGCTTTTCAGGAAGCTGACAAGCTCAGCTCTGCTCCCAGAGTCTTCAAAACCTCCTCACTGTGGAGACCGATGATTTTACATGCCACATTCAATCTGAGAAGTGAGCAATCTATGTGACCTGTGAAGGGCAGAAACCAGACAGGCCTCTTCCACAGCAATATTCCTTCTCATGTCGAGGCAGAGAAAATAATCACATGTAGCGTCAGAGTAATCGGTGTGTCTTACCTCATCTTGGTATATGAAGAAAAGCATGATGGAGAGAATTTCCAGGAAAAAGATAAGCAGGAGAAGGATGAAGAACTGTGAAGAAATGAGAGAAGGACTTCATGAGACAAATACTTTAGCAGTATGTGAAAAACATCTTTTGAGGATAACAAACGTGGCAGAATACATAAATAAGGCTATAGGAATTAGTGTTTAACTAAAACTTTTAACAAAGACTGTGCCAAAGCAGAAAAGTTAGGACCATCAGAGCAAACAGAATAGCTAGGTGATTTACAGTTGTCCTCCAGACACTTTTGAATTTGTAAAAGGAGCCACGTTTTATTCTCCACCAGTCCTCACCAACCCTGCCTCACTCTAGTGGCGAGGTTGAGCTGTTTGATGGGTCATACATCTTCCTGCAGGCTCATTTGAGTGTTTAAAACAGTTACGAGCTCATCCATCAACTCCTGTGCTATAGCACAGCTCTGATTCGCACACATACAAGAAGACTCACTAGGCACAGAGGAGGGAAATATTTCCAGAGACAACAGTACGGTTTTTCCAAGGGGTCACTAAATGAACTCAGCATAAGGACAGTGCTACCAAAGTCTCTACAAAAAGAACTACGGATCAGTTTTGAGCTCGAAGAGCCCAGGCTGCAGGTTGGTTTACACCAGGGGTCCCCAAACTTTTTCCTGTGAGGGCCACATAACTTTTCCCTTCTCTGGTGGGGGCCAGAGTCAGTTTGTAACAGAAAAAATGTGACCATTACAGGAGTGCCAAAATGTAAAAATGTATTGTTTTCCAGAAAGCACAATCAAATAACTCTCTCTGGGTTTTTCACAGAACAACAGTCAGGAAATAAATAATAACACTGTTAATGAAATAATAACCAAATAACCTTCTTTGGGTTCTTCACAGAAAAAATCCAGGAAGGATTATAGTCCGTATTTTC